TATACTGGACAGTTACAAGGAGGGAATTGTTTACTGTTATCATTTGTGGATGATCTTTGCTTCATTGCAAAGGATGCATCACAAGTCAAGGAATTTGCTGATAAATTAGGAAAGAAATTTGAATTAAAGAATTTGGGAGAAATAAAAAATTATCTCGGTGTAGAGATACAGAAAAACGAAAAAGGTGGTTATATTCTCAGTCAAAGGAGAAAAATTGAGCAGTTATTGGAGAAATATAATATGAAAGATAGAAATACTGCTCCCACACCCATGAGTATGGATTTTTATAATAGTTTAAATGTGGACAAAGGTGAAACTTGTGATCACTCAGCAATAGGGAGTTTGTTATATCTATCACAGTGGTCCAGACCAGATATAGCTTGCGCAGTAAGCATTCTGAGTCATTTTACTGCTGCACCTACAAAGTTACATTGGATGGGTGTAAAAAGGGTTCTCAGATATTTAAAGGGAACTATAAATTTGGGTCTTCAAATACAGATTACTGAGGAATTGAAATTAAAGTGTTATGTCGATAGTGACTATGCAAATGACATAAACACAAGGAAATCAAATTCTGGGATTATAATATTGTTTGGAGGGACTCTGATTGGATGGAAGTCCAGAAAACAAACAACTGTTGCTATTTCAACAGCGGAAGCAGAGTTTATTGTTTTATCTGAATTGTGTTCTGAAGTAACATGGTATATACAGTTGTTGCAAGATTTAAATATTAATGTAATCTGTAAAGGTATTTGAAGACAAAGCTGCCTGTATAAAAATGGCAACTGGTGACAGGGTGAAGAACAGAAGTAAACATGTAGACATTAAGTATTGTAATGTCAGGGAAGCTGTAAAAGGAAAATTGATTAGTTTACATCATTGTTCTTCTGAGGATAATTTGGCAGACATGATGACTAAACCATTGCGTAGTGTTCACTATGGAGAATGTATTAAGTCAATAAGTCTGATGTCTCTTCCTGTCATGAAGGGAGGAGTGTTGGAATATTCATGAGCAGGAAGAGTCATGTGATAACTCAGTCAGCCAATGTGAAGAAAGTGCTACTGAGTCTGTGCAAAAAGGGTATTGAGTTAGGAACTGGATTTCCAGTCTCAGGTTTGTCTCTGTATCTCTCTGTAAGAAGACTTCATTTGTGCTATGTTGCTGTAAAGAAGAATGTATGGTATTGTAAATATTTTGATATAAATATAAAGAAGTTATTTTGAATCAGTTAAATGCAGTCAACTGTGAGAGCTTCTGATTTATTTTTCACCAACAGAAAAATTAAAATTCTCTAACATTGACTCTAATCATGTTTCCTCCCAATAAATCCTGCTGACTTCACTGGGACTTGGTCCAAGAAGGCACACTATTCGGAGCAATTCGAGATACACAAAGTTGCAGACTAAGATTCACTCAAGAACCCAACACACTGACCTCATTATAATGAAACAGGTGTGCCTGAAATTGCTATCTTTGCCAATCATATAATTATTACATGCTACAATTTGAAGTGTTTTTTTTAAAAAAAAATCTCGAAACTATAAAGATATCATTTGCTTCTTGAAGAAGTGCAGCAGTCAAGTTTGTTTAAAGTTGTATATTTCAAAAGCAAAAAAAAAATTCCAACTGGTTGAAGGCCTGCATTGTTAACTGCATTTTGTAAAACATAAATGTCTATCCTGATTATAAATATATATTCTGATTACTTCCTCTGCTGGTTGCTATTTTTTTATTGGACACAGATCTGTTTTATGGCTTGGTAAAATGCCACATTTATAATATACATCTGATTTTATTTATGCAGAAAAGATAGGAACCTGCTCTTCTGCAAAAGCTTGATAGACTTGCTCCATAATGGAACTAATTGCTCAAGTTTCCTAACTGACACTAACCAGCCAAGTGTTCAGCATATTCTAATTCAGCAGTTTTCAACCTTTTCTATACCACGTACCCCTAGAATGCGTCTGACATATTCTTGCACCCCTTACAAAAGTAATACCTGGTTTATTCATATACACTATAATTTTGAAACTTCTAAACCCAAGTTTTCACCCCCCCCTGGAATACCAGCTCGCACCCCCAGGAGGTGCAAGCACACACCCCACCCCCCGTTGGGGACTCCTGTTCTAATTTTAAACATCCTGCATGAAGCAGAGTGCTGGCCTGTAGATTCTTCCCTCCAATTCGGTAGCTTGGCTTGCAACGTCTACTAAACCATGGTTTAACTGCTTTGCTGAATAAACTACAATTGACGGGCTTCCATAGTAAGCTAAACTATAAACCATAATGTCTATGGCACATTAAGCCAAAACTAAAGAAATCACATTATAGTTTAGTGTATTCTGTAAAACCAGCCACTGATTCTATCCAACTCATAGGATGGATTCCCATAACCTACAAGTCATAATGTGATTTCTTTGGGAGTGTCTGCTGTCTAAACCCCAACCACTATGGCTTATTCTACAAATTTTAAAGTATGGCTTAATGTGACATTTGAACAGTCACATGGGAAAAATATATTTTAAAGAACTTTAGTTGTCACATGTAATTTATATGTCCAACAGTTCACAGTGGCTTATAGCTGCAGTCTCTAATCCAGGGCTTTTCAACCTTTTCACCCACTGTACCACTTTTAGGAGATGGCAATATCTGAGTACCACCAGTCGCCGAGCAAGGTGTCAAAAACTTGATGACCAAAGGAAAATAGTGATGAAGTACAGCTAGTCCTTGACTTAACAGTTTGCTTAGTGACTGTTCAAAGCTACAATGGCACTGAAAAGTGCCCCCCAAGCCACAGCCGAGCAAGACACCTGCCTGCCTCCCGGCAGCGCTCTTCCTCCTGTCCGAGGTTTTCATTGTTGTGAGCATTTCTGTTGGGGATTGGCAGTGGGGGTTGGGTGAGAGGGTGTTTGGTTTTTATTCCCCCCATCTGCTGGGTGGTTGCAGAAGGTTTTGGTCACTTCACATGACCCTGGGACATTGTGACCATCATAAGTACGAATCAGCTGCCAAGCATCTGAATGTAAATCACAAGATCCTTGGAGATTCTGCAACATTCCAGCTGATCAGCGCTTCTTCTGGGCTCAGCAGAAGCACCAGGATCAGCGCCGAGCTCCAGCTGGAGCCTGGCGCTGATCCTGGCGCTTCCACTGACCCTGGACAGTCCCAAAGCACTGATCCTGGTGCTTCTGCTGAACCCTGACAGCCCTGCAGCTCCAGCCATCTCTCGCTCAGGCTTGTGCTGTGCTGTCACTGGTTCAGCTCATTCCCCTCCCCCATTACTTTTCTAGGATGGTCGCGTACCACCTGCCAGGTGCCAATGTACCATAGGTGGTACCCGTACCACTGGCTGAAAAGCCCTGCTCTAATCAAAGTGTTTATGAGCAAATTCCAATTACCATAATAAATTGTGGGGTGTTGAAAATAGTTTGTAGCAATGTTTATACCAGGACTTAGTGCAGCCGGGGTATTAGCAGATACCCTAGCTTAACCTAGTTTAGAAAACTATAGTTGGTGTTATCCATATATTTATTTTCCTCACTGACAAGGAGTTCAAGAATCACATGACTTAAAAGCATTCATATAGCATCTGAGATCTAATTAGTCATAAGAAAAATTCTCATTAACACAGAATGTGAATACAGTTTTCCTTTAACTATTGCTTTGCTGGCAAACTTTGAGTTACATCTTTTGCTGAACAGGATGAGGAAACTGGATAAATAAGAATAAAGTATAGAACAAAGAATTCAAAAATTGAATAAAGAAAATAAAAAAATAAAATAGAGTTAATGTTGTCTTGCAAAGAATATTAAAAAATAAATTTAAAAAATCAGAAACAAAGAGACACCGTTTACTGCAGCTACACTCCTTTTCATCTTGAGAAACAGCAACCAGATGTCAAGCATTAGTGCTACTTTGTTTGAACCTGGAAGAAATGACCAAGGAGTTATACTATTCAAGGTACAATGTCCAAATTCCAATGACTGTCAGGAAAGAAATTAAAATTCCAACTGTAAATCTGTATTAAGAAGATATAAGTGCACATACTTTACAAACCCATGCTTTTCTGATCAAATGGAAATCATAGCAGTGGTGCCAAAATGTGAGAGAATACAAAAAAAAAAAAAAAAAAAAAAAGCTTTTACAAGGAAATTTACATTAGTTCTATTTAGGCCCAGGTTTCACTCATTCTTAACTTTAGCCATTTCACTGCATCAGTTCTCTTTTCAACTGAAGCATCTTTTTGAGTGAATGGATTTTGATTCCCGAATGTCAGAAACGCAGGAGTCCTTATCCATTCTGATGACTTCACTGATTACTTCATACCTCTCCTACACATTCTCCTTTATTTCAATAGCGTCTTTGGCCCAAAGCAAATCAAAACTTGTCTCCCAAGTAAATGTGGGTTTTTCAGAAAATTAGCCTGAAATATTCCCACAAATTGTTTCTCTTGGAATATTTTTCACAAGGAAGTGACACACTTGGGGATTTATGAGATAGTAGGGTGGTTGGCCCATATTCCAAATTTGCTTAAAGGAATGAAGCTCAGCATGCATAGCATGAGCTATGAAACATTAGCTGCTAGATGCTGTCATACTGAAGTGCAAATCACCTAACCAGTATAATTATGCAACAGGAGGACACTAACTGGGTTACACAGGCATTAAGTCTCATTAATTCAGCATTCTAGGTCACATAGTAGATAATCAGATGCATCCAGGAAGCGTAAGAAATTGATAAACCTCTTCTACCACTGCTCTTTAGCCAGTGGTATTTATTAAATTTATATGCTGCCCATTTTGCTATCCAAAATATTTGAAGTATGCTGTCCGTGAGTCAGGAGTTAGAGTTCTTAATAGTGGTAGTTGTTGATATATTTGTACTGTCCCATTAATTTGCCCAGCCTCATTTACTGCGATATCACATTGATTCTTCTCATAGCTAGAAGACAAAAACCAATAAATGCAATAAAAGATAAGGAAATTGCCACCCTACTTACATCCATGTAATTCTTCAGAGCCTCTGGGGTGGGTATTTGTGCACCAGGACCCCCAAATTTATATTTCAGCATTTCTCCCAACTCAGTCAAATCTTGGATATTGGTCCCATATTCATTGTAGATGCTACGCATGGAAGGGAATTTCTTCAGAGGGATTCTGTTCAGGAGAAATTATTAAACACAACAAAAAGAAACATATATTAGCCACAGCAGTTTTCCTTGATATCCTCTTTTTTCCTGCAATTCTTCAGGAAGAATCGGTATACGACCATCGTTAGCACAGTGTAACATTCACAGCACAAAATATGTTTTTAAGTACAGACAGTCCTCGACTTACAATTCAAAGTTACAACAGCCTTGAAAAAGTGACTAAGAACCGGTTGTGGCACTTACAACTGTCACAGCATCCCCATGGCCATATGATCAAAATTTGGGAGCTTCGCATGTATTTACAATGGTTGCAGAGTCCCAGAGTCAGGAGACTGCCATTTGCAACCTCCCAATAAGCAAAATCAATGGGAGAAGCCCCAGTCGCTTAACAACCATGTTATTCACTTTACTGCAGCAATTTGTTTAACAACAATGGCACAAAAAGACATAAAATTGGGCCAGACTCACAACTCCTTACTTAGGAATGGAAATTCTGGTTCCAATTGTGCTGGTAAGGTAAGCCAAGCAATAGCTTTCCTTTTTTATCTAAACACAGCAATCAAGCATCAGGTTCTCTAGTAGTAGACACGTTCTCCACCAGGATTTACTGACATGAGTCTTGTGAAGTTAATGGAGCCTTGCTAGTTTACCCTGAAGTAATTATGGGAACCTCCCTACAAATCAGGGTTTCAAAGCTTCATTACTCCCTTTTATTAACTTGTATTTGATAAAAGGCCAACCTCTGAAAACTTCCTATGTTAGTTCTAATTTGGACTGACATCTTTAATCTGTTAAGTATCACTTTAAAGTTAAAACATTATTTAGAAGGATAAAATTCCTGAAACCTCAAAAATATGCATTATCTCGAGACCAAAAGGCATCTCCTGACCTATAATCTGTTTCATGTTATGCTTAACCCGCATATCAAAATCAGCGCCATATATTATGTTATACTATTATACGCTATCAAAGCAACAAGAATTACCAACAAATTTAACAGAAACCAACAAGTTTAAAAGACAAAGAAATCAAGTTGTCTTTATGGTGTTGGGAAAGGGAGGGGGAGGGAAGAGTTTTAGTTATGTAAGTGGCATTATTCACATTTTAAAATGCAGGCACACTCCTCAATCAATGAAAGAAGCCCAGACCTAATGGGAAGTAATTTTAGACATACATTCTGTACAGTAGTCAATATATAAGTAAGCTCAATGGTGCTTAATCTCATAAGTGACAATCAGGCTGCAGCTTTATTTACTCCTACTGGTTTTTCATTAAGTGTCAGCAAGTTCCAATAGCAATGCCTTTTGAAATCGGGTCCACAAACTTTATGTGATATTGGAAGCTAGCCATTACATGTTGCCTTCAACTGGGCCCTACAACTAGACTAGTTTTTTCTTTACCGAGTAGCAGAAGATTATGAGAAGTGGATGCTATCATCATTTCACTATGCTTCTTTTTGAAAGCAGCCAACTGTCCAGGCCTATCAGATACTTGGGGGGGGGGGGAAGAAAAAGAGGCAGTTTCTTCTTCCCCAGTCAGTACTAATGCTAAATATCTGACTGGTAATAAAAAACAAAACAAAACTGTTCAGCTATTCAAAATAAGGATTTCAGGTTCCTTTTTAGAAGAAAGAAAACACTTGAATCAAATCCTGGGTGCCTGTGCTAATCACAAAACAAATTAATTTTCAACTTCAGTATTTCACTCAAATACTCTGACATTTAAACATTTGTTATTATAAATGAGCATGGTTATCTCATTCCTGGAATGCCACATCAGCTTACAATGATGTATTAAGCTAAAAAGTAAAATTAAATTAGATGTAAAAGAAATAAACAGTATCACATAGATGACACAGAAGAGTATTTTCCTAATTCCTGCAGACAGCAAGGAAGAGTTATAGACTCCGCTCAGGGTGACCTTTCTCACCAATGGAGATGCCTAAATATAACTTAACCGTGCTGTTAACTTTGCATCTGCAGAATTAGGGTGAAACTCTTCTCTCCTATACTCTATGAAATAATTAAAATATATAAACTGAAGTATTAGCTTTATGGAATATTTGAGCATGATAATTATTTATTTGACCAGCATGGATCTGAACACTACCAGACACATAGATGATACTTTCTACCGTTAATGATTGTGTTGATTTTTAGAATAGTGTTAATAGGGGTTGTCTGATGAATACACAAAAACAAGCGGATATGTGACACAAGAGGGGGAACTACTATTTTGTGGCAGCTGTTAGAAATTGTTTTTAAAGTGAAATTTATTTTTACAGACCCAATCAGTAGGCAGCTACCACAGAACTTGTACTATTCACCTAGTGTTCCTCTTGCCATTTTTTTCTGATGAACCAAATTAATTTCTGCTCAAAAATTAAATTCTCTCCCCCCCAATGAGAGGCAAGTCTTTTAATTTAACATTTACGCAATTCAAGTGTACATCCCTTTTCATCCTTAAGCCACAAACTAGAGAAACAAATGTCCATCAGAACAACTTGAAAATTATTGAACAAGTGCACATGAATACACTGGGCAAATTTTTCCCTTCCCATCCCCAACTGTTGAATGGAAAATCAATATATTAGATTATGGCTGACTTCTGGAAAATTTCAGAAGCATAATGTCAAGAAAAGTGCGCGGTTGCACGAATTGGAAGGTGAGAAACAAGTGTTCAAAGGCCACAAAGTGAAACAAAGAAAAAAACTGCAAAAAAAAAAAAAATCCTGCATGCTGTGGACATCATTAACAGACTGCTTACAATATTAACATAACCAAGTGTTTTGCTTCCTTTAAATTGGAGCCAAATTCTGCAACCTGGTATCCCCTAGACAGGCTGGTCTTTAATTTCTTGCTATTGCAAGACCATGGAGAAGGCTTTAACGCAGTGGTTCTCAACCTGTGGGTCGGGACCCCATTTGGGGTCGAATGACCATTTCACGGGGGTCGCCAAACCACGCTGTCCGCCATCTTTTTCCCTTTTCCCTAGCTGTCCTATTCCCTCTTATTGGTGGCCACACCCACTTGTGGGTCACCACAACATGGGGAACTGTATTATGGGGTCATGGCATTAGAAAGGTTGAGAACCACTGCTTTAACGTATGGTTAAGAGAGTCCTTGGGAGGTTTCCTCAATATCTTTAGCTTAGATCAAGCATATTGAGAGTTGATCAGAATTTTCAGAAACTGGAGTGGAGTTCTGAAAGAAGTCGGCAGTAAGGAAGATCATCCACCGATTCCAGAGGATATTCTCCTGTACTCCAGTTTCCTTTCAAACAAATTCTCCATATTCAAGTCCGCTTAAAAAAAAGTATCTTTTTGTTTTTACTTCTGCAACAGCGCATCCGATCGAGAGGATGAGATCAAGCTCTTCTAATTCCAATCAATCGATGCCTAAAGGTCGGCAAAAGTTAAAACATCACCGGCTGCTTTTAGGCACACCTTCCTAGAGGACTGACAGGCTCCAGAAGAGACTGAACGGTGCCCACAACAATGGAGTCCATGCCTTGAAAAATGCAGCCTCGGTTTATTTAAGCTCCCAAGTCTGTTTGCAAAACTCCCATCCCACATCACCTTCCCACTCAGGGATTCTTTACTCTAGATAGAAAGCCGATCCTCACCTGATCAGCGCCGAACAAGCAGCCACCAGAGAGGCGAGCAATACTAAATCGCGAAGCCCCATCATGGCAAGATCGAGCTAGACCAGGGTTTACTGCAAGCAACACTACAACCCCGGGATCTGCTGAAGATGACTGAGCAGTCCAACCGCGTGACTCCTTTATCAGCTGACCGAGCCTGAGTTTGCAATTCGGAAGCATGTGATCGGGAAGGAGGCGGGTCTGGATTTAACCCTCTAATCGGTTTCAGATCCTGGAAGAGAGGATGTGCAATAATTCCGCCGCCGGCGGGAAAGCTTGATACTTCTCAATGCCTTTGGGCAACCGGCTGGGTGGGTGCTGAGAAGGGTATTGTGTGTGTGGAGCACGCCCACGCTGAAAAACTGGCACCGTATGACTCAGGAACCGGCAGCAACCAGTTTAGCCAGAAATGAATCCTTTTCAAATGGCTTCTTCGGGGTAATCGTTTTGCCATTCTGAATGCCCTTCCTTCACACATGCTATTACACGCCGCCCTACACGTATATTTCTCCATATTGTTGCTTGTTGAGTTTTTCAGCCAGCCAGGTGTCAGGGAAGGAAGGAATTCCGTCACCACTAGCCGTGAGTTAGGAACAGGAGTCCTAAAGCGTGTTGAGTGGCCTTGGATCACGGTAGCCAAGAAGTCAGGATGAGGTGCAAGTAGGTGCAATTTTCCTCAGAGACTTCATCGAGCTGCAGCTTTCTCCTCTTCCTCAGTTGTATTGTTAAGTTTGCTAACTTATTGTTAGTTTAGCTCACTTTTCAAGCTTGGCAATTTTAAGATGTGTGGACTTCAACCCCTAGAATTCTCCAGCCGGCATACTTGGCTGAGGAGTTCTGGGGGTTGAAGTCCACGCAAGTTGTCAAGCTTCAAAAACATTGGTTTAGCTCACAGGATTAATCAGATGCAGCTTAGCACAGTGGCCCCCAGCGCTCTCGCGCCCAACTCCATTTGCACCAGCGATGAGCACTTGCATACGGGCGAAGCTCCATTTGTGCGACCTCGCCTGCTGCTTGCGCGGCCCGGTTTCAAACGCGCTCACTGTGGTTGGATACCCCTGGCTTAGCAATAATGCTGAGTGGGGGACAGCTGCACATATTAGGGGAGCCTGATAAACGTCATCTGCCTGGTGTATTTTGGAGAACTTGTTTACTTATGTGGTAGAGTGTGCTGGGTGAGGGCTACCACACGGGGTGTTTGCTCTATGTCTGGAATTTTGCAAGCCTGGTATGAAAACTCTTGCTAGTGACTAGCTCAATTGGAGTTAAAAGTAGCTCCAATTGATTGACACCCTAATTTATAATTTTCCTCAATTATTTTCATCAATGTAGGAAAACTTGAGGAGAGCCCCCAAGCTGAAGCTAGCTGCTGTAGAATCATACAGGACTTCTAAAAACGAGTTTTGCTGAAACTTATGAATTATAATTAATAGGATAGTCAAATTATTTTCATCTGTGTTTCAGCCCTGGCTTTAGTAACGTTATTTGCATTATCATGACTTCAAGTAGAGTATTTGATAATGATAATGTTATCATGCCACTTCAGGGGGAAATGAATACAGCTTGCTGTGACAGCATTGTTCCTGAATTGAGATAAGTATTTACTATCCCATAGTCCTTTGCAATAATTTAGAGAGGATTCAGCTAAATTCTTTCAAAAGATCTTTCTGCTCAATTGTATCTGCTTAGAAGACAAGAGTTGTATTTTATTGAATATTCTAAATAATTATGGTCAGACTTGAACACTGGGCACTAACTAACAAAATGAAATTCAATGGTGAAAAAAGCAAGGTTCTACATTTAGGTAAGAAAAAACAAATGCACAAGTACAGCATAGGTGGCACCATGCTCAATAGTAGTAACTGTGAGAGGGACCTCGGAGTCCTAGTAGATAATCACCTAAATATGAGCCAGCAGTGTGCTGCAGCTGCCAAAAAGGCCAACACAGTGCTAGGCTGCATTAACAGAGGGATAGAATCAAGATCACGTGAAGTATTAATACCACTCTTCAATGCCTTGGTAAGGCCACACTTGGAATACTGCATCCAGTTTTGGTCACCACGATGTAAAAAAGATGTTGAGACTCTAGAAAGAGTACAGAGAAGAGCAACAAAGATGATTAGGGGACTGGAGGCTAAAACACATAAGGAACGGTTGCTAGAATTGGGTATGTCTAGTTTAACGAAGAGAAGGACAAGGGGGGACATGATAGCAGTATTCCAATATCTCAGGGGCTGCCATAAAGAAGAGGGAATCAAGCTATTTTCCAAAGCACCTGAAGGCAGGACAAGAAGCAACGGGTGGAAACTAATCAAGGAGAGAAGCAACCTAGAACTAAGGAGAAACTTCCTGACAGTGAGAACAATTAATCAGTGGAACAGCCTGCCTCCAGAAGCAGTAAATGCTCCAACACTGGAAGTTTTTAAGAAGAGACTGGACAGCCATTTGTCCGAAATGGTGTAGGGTTTCCTGCCTGAGCAGGGGGTTGGACTAGATGACCTCCAAGATCCCTTCCAACTTTACTACCATTATTATTATTATTATTATTATTATTATTATTATTATTATTATTATTTGGGACACATAATATATTCTAGTCTTTTTTTTTACTGCCTTCATCTTGTTCCCAGCTCATGGCTGAAACTGTTATTATAACTTGTTCTAGAATTATGGTATTTTTTTTCTTATTCTGACGCTGCCCAAGGACAAGCTTAAGGTGAGGTGGCCAGTACTACTAGTCCGTTTTGCTGTCATTCTAAAGTTCCTGCTAATGAGAGATTGGAAAGAGAATTAATTGAGAGATTGGAAAGAGAATTAATTAAATTGACTATTTAAAAAAGAATCTGAAGTAAATACAGGAAATTACAGGACGGTTAACAGTATATGTTCTAAGTAAATTAATGGAAACACTTTTATGATATTGGGAAATGTACAGATATTATGGAATGTGAGAAGAAAGCATCTTGTAGATTCATTGTGAAATATACAATTTTCATTTAAGGTTTCCAAAATTCTTTAGTAGGGCACTTCCAGAACCCATGAAAGCAGATTAGGTGGTGGTTCTCTTTTATTTTATAGGACAATAATTACAAATGATTAAAAATTAGGAAACTTCCTTAATAGTATTGCATAACATCAGGATTTCATGATCATTCTTAATAATGGTGTTCAACTGAATATATTGTTCATATGATAATAGATTAAACTTTATTAGTCATTCCAAGGATGACACAACATGGAGGCCTAAGGGAATATCAGAACTATAATTTGGATATTGTGGGTTCCCAAAATAAGCAATAACATTCAAGTATTGCAAAAACTGTGACAATTTCTGGGGAGCCCATCAGGTATGTTGAATATACACAAACTATGCCTAAAGATGTTGAACTCTTGGATAATGAGCACAGAATTGTGAGAAGTTTTATATCAAAATGTATTTTATTCTTTATACTATTTCCATCTTCCCTTAAAACATTAACAGAATCCACAATGGACTGAGAATCAGTGTCTCTGCTAGAAAATTGACAGTCAAGCTCAAACTAAGTTAATCAACTAAAAACAGGAAATGGGGGAAATCTTTAATTCAAACTTCCTCAAACCTCCAAATGAATTACCCAGACCTAATCTAGTGGTGGGATTCTGCCAGTTTGCACCAATTTGGCAGAACTGGTATTACTTTTTTGTTGCCCAGGCCTAGAATGGACTTCCTGAAGCGGCATCCACACAGAGAACTAGTTGTTCACATATTTGAATCCTACCACTGACCTAATCCACCTATCAAAGGATACAAATAGAGTTAATTAAATTATGTTTCCCAGCAAAACTGCATGTTCACAAGAATAAATATCATAGATCACACACACACACCTCAAGTGTCACCCTAGAAACAGCACATAGACACTTCCATACCCAGGACAAACTCCACTATAAAACTACCCCATTTTTCAGCAGCTGCCCAAAAGGCAAACTCTTTGCTTTTAGGAATAAATATTCTTTCCTCACAGCTGTCTGGATCTCTTATTTATTCTTGGGCAACCCCAGCTCAGGTTGGAACCCCAAATTATTCTTCTGACAGGATCCTGGAAAATAGAATTTCTCAGAGCCCTGGATGCTACTGCTCCAATATTCTTGGGCAAAAGTGAGCCCCCATCTTTGTTCTTTCTGTCACCTTTGCCAAGGTGGTTGGCATGTAAATGAGAAAAGCTAGGAATGGATTCAAAAATGGGAAAGACTAGTCCTAACTTACTATAAGCTAAATCTAAACTTCACCAAGAAGTTGTATTTAGCATTCAGTGAATTCAAAAAGTCAAAGGAGGAGGAACTAGTTTTTACTAGCTTTTGAGGTTCACTATTATCATAGGTTAGAATGGCCATAAATATTTTATGTGTCATGTGTCATAATGACTAGCACAAATATACTTCTGAATCATATCAAGGGCCTATCTAATTAGGCATCTGCTTCCTATAGCTTGCAACTAGATGCACATGGAAAGTTGTCAAATAGGACATGAATGCAAATAACACTCTCTCATTTATATAACCATCAACTGCTACTGAGAAGCATTCTCTTTCCCACACAGATAGAAATATACTTGAACCCACCCTTCTAATTTGCTGGAATAATCCCAGCTAAACCCATAGCCAGGCATGCAGCCAGATAGCCTGGAGGCTCTAAGTACCTATACCATAAACTGTATATGTGCCGTAGCCATGCTGCTCTCAGCATTGTCCCCAGTTGGAAATTTCTTCCAAATGTAAAGATAAAGGGAAGTAAAATGAAATCAATTTTTTATTTTTGTGGATTGTTTAACAATGAATATGTACTTGCACTGTAGTATTTGAAGATTGATCTGCCACAAACACAGAAAAATCTGTATTGGCCTCAGAGTTTGACATCCCCAATATATCTAAGGGGGAGACTTTGAAATCAAGCCCATCATCCAGCTTTTCTGAGTCTTGGGCAGTCTAGATCCTGCTTCTACCCATACACAAGTTCTAAACTATCTATGTAATTAGTATTCACCTGATCACAACTGGCATGTAGCAATTGATGTAATAATGTAATTTGTAGGAGTTAATTACAAGGCAGCTTTGATTCTACTATATACAAATGTCCAAATAGTTCTTATGGCCTAGTTCAGC